CAATGAATCCATAGCGTGAGCGAAAGGCTACCTGTATGTCTACGGCTTCCCAGACAGCATACAACGATAACTCCCCTGTGTGTGTAACAGGCTCAACAAGGCAGTTTGGTAGCCATCTTGTGTATCAATCTGTATGTTGTGTTGGGAAGTTGTAGACGGAAGACTTAGGGGAACTCGGTTTGTCGGGTGTTCTATTATTGCACCCTTAGGTGGTTGCGGAGCAAGCGCGTTTCGGGTTGTGAATAGTTTCGTCATCAACTTATTTTTTGTTTGTGATGTTTGTTTTGTTTTTTTGCTTGTTTTTCTCCCATCATTGGACTCTCTCTACAGAGTCTGTCGTTTGCCCCTCTGGCCCCTATGCTCCACTTCTACTAGCTAGACGACCCAACCGGTGCCACATAGGAGGGGGGGCTGGACCCCCTCCTGCGGTTCATGCCTGAGGTATTTTTATCGCGAGAAGGGTACAGCAATCCCTTCCCTCGCGACTTACGAAGTCGATTATGGTTCACTATCAAACGAGCTTTGCAGCGCGTCGCTTTCATCCTAGACCCGGATTTATTTAGTGAGAAAAAAACTTTCCCTGCCGGGACTCGAACCCATTACCTGGCCATAGCAGGATGCGAGGTTACCCACCAGACCACCGGGGCGACCGGTGTATGGGGACATGGTGGCGCGGGAGAACATATTTATTTACCTTGTGTGTGTGTGTTTTCGTCCCTTGTGTAATGGCATGTCGTTCAATGTGAGAAGGGCACGGGAGAACATTATCTCATCGTTGCCTCCTGACGTGGCCGCCGATAGAGGCGTGTGGTTGGGGTGTCATCGCTGACATGTGGGTGTGTGGTTAAATGCAGTGGGTATGGGGTATGGTCGCCTCTCTCGCCCATGTGTCGGCAGAACGTATAGCTACCTTTCCCATATATTTTTAGGCAGCGCGGACCATAAGTAATGACAGAGTGTATCATTTCATGCATCTACATCATTTCTATGTTGTTGTTGTTGTTGTTGTTGCTGTTGTCTTCACATTAAAACCGTTCCGATCTCTCTCCACCCGGTACCTTCTTATGTCCGTACTGATCCAACATTCGACGTGGTCGATTCCCGTCGACGCAGGTTTTCGAGTTATTGTACGCCGAATCTTCCAGGGGCGATTCCGCCTAAAACTCTAACATCTTTCCACAAAAACTCGAAAACCTATACCCAACCTACATTCCCGTGGACTATNACCCAACACACGCCACCAAAAAACACAATCCTGGGGAGAGGGAGAACGACAGAGAGGTCTGCAGGACAGCAACAACAGCAATACCCATGTCTGCACAGAGCGACGACGAGTTTGCGCTGGATCCCAGGGCCCCGCGTGCACAAGCGGGGCCAGGGGTGAGGTTGATCACACGGGGGTTCCTTCCCGTCGCAACCACACAGCATTGGTTAGGCTCCCGCGGGTTATCCGCCCCATCTCTGCCGCGTCTCTCTACAAAACCAGTGACGTCATCACACACACACAACACCTACAGTCTATCCAGGAAAAAACGGAAAAATAATTGACAACACAAGAGATGTTTGTCCGTGCGCCATGGTTCGATGCCGTTCGCACGCTCCGGTTCCGTTGCTCCGGCTCCGCTGCTCCGGTGCCGCTGTGGCCAGTCCCAGCATGACCAAACTCGACCCGCTCCGCTTCTTACACGCTCTCGTTGCTGTCCTTCCCAGTCGGTTCCGGCGGGTACAAACCACTCGGAAAAAAACAGAAAACAAAATGATAGAAAGAAAAGACCATGTACCACTCCTCATGAGCCATGCCGCCCCGTCCTCGACCTTGTTGTACCACACCTCCAGGTCCTTGGCGCTCTCTTTCCATTTCCCCCCTTCCTTTTCGTCTCCCATGGTGAAGGCCACGAGGTCCTCTCCTAGACGAGACACCCAGTC